GGGGCCTGGGCTGTCCATGCAGGCCCTGGTGATCAGAGTGCCCACCGAATGCCCTGGCCACCCCAGGCACTGTTCTCCATGCCCAATGCCCCGTGGTGACGCTGTGTCCCCTAAGGACCAGAGCCCTGGCCAGTGCGGCCCCGAGCCCCGCCCCCCACTGACCGGCAGCAAAGCGGGCCTCACGCAGCTCATCCGGGAGGCAGCAGTAGTGCTCGTCCTCGGCCGGGGACAGCTCCCAGCCGGACCGCTGGGCCCTCCAGCCCTTCCACTCGATGAGGTGGGCCACGCGGCCACGTGCCATGGCCGTGGGCTTCGTGATGTGGTCCTTGATGCTCTGCACCACCCCTGGGGACAGTGAGAGCCGTCGCGTGACTGCCCGGCTCAGAGACCCCCCCACACCCCTGGCCCCCCCAGCGCAGGCCCATCCAATGACCTGTACCCCACATCCATTCAATGCCTTGTACCCAACCGATGCTCTACATCCTCAAAGCCCCATCCCCAGCAGCGCCCTGTACCTACTCGACTCCTATGCCCGGCCAGTGCCTGTGCCCCTCCCTGCCCCACGCCCTCCCGGGGTCCTGCTCCCAGCCAACGCTCCTGTCCACTGGAAGCTTCCTTCCCAGCCTCGCCACACCCCTCATTCTCTCTCCGACCAAGTTCAGACCCTTCTGCCCAAGATCTGCTCAAGGATCCACTCAAGACGCCCCCCCCCCCCCGCCAAGCCCTCCCCTTTTCCATGAATAAAGTTCTGAGAGAGCTGCCTGGGCCTGGGCCAGTGCCAGCTCTGCTTCCTGGGCCTGGGCTAGTGCCAGCTCTGCTTCGGGTGAGACCTGTGGGGTGCAGCAGGCAGGGAAGGCTTCCTGGAAGAGGTGGACTGGATTGGGGCTTTGAAGGCGGTTGAGTTAGACAGATAGAGGCTGTTTCAGAGATGAGATGATGAAGGCATGGAAGAGTCGGGTGTGGCTCCAGGGTTACCAGGACTGGGATGGCAGAGAGGCTGGGGCGCCTACCAGGGGCCAGACTGGGGGCTGAGAGCCAGGCGGAGGCACCGATGTCTGAGAGCAATGGGGAGCCACAGCAGGGCGATGGCAGGAGGGGAGCGGGTTAGGTCTGTAGTTGAGGAAGAGCATCCTAAGTCCGGGCTTAGGGCCCCAGGGTGGAGACAGGGGGACATTAGGGGCCACTGAAGGGATCCAGCAGGAGACGGGACAAGGGCTGGGCAGATGGGGGAGGGGGGGACCTGAGGGGTTCCTAGGAGTAGACGTTGGATGTGGAAGCTGACAGAGGGTTGTCAAGAATGATTCAGCATCTCCCTAATCAAGCCCGACAACAGGTCTGGGAGTCACCGGGCTCCAGCGCCATGACGTAAAGAACAGCAACACCAGAAAGACAGTAGCCACAAAGGAAGCCAGAGGAAAACCACAGGGAGGAGGTGGTGGGGAGAAGGAGGGGAGGAGGGAGGGGAAGGGGGAGGGGAGAGCCTCCCCCATGTAGGGGAGTGTTGGCAACTAGGAGGCTTTTGGAGGAGGTGTCTAAGTGGCCCCTGAAGGGCAGGGGAGGTGGAGGGAAGGGGTTCAGGGGGAGGGAGCAGCACAGGCTGATGTGGGGGGGAGGGCAGTAGGGGCCCGGGGAGTCAGGGAGGCCTGAGGGAGGAGGGACTAATGAAAGGCTAGCGCAAGGTACACTGAGCAAAGCTGTGGGCAAGGGGAGCGCTGAGAATGGCCCAGAAGGCTGTGCTGGGAGGCAGGGCAGATGCTGGAGGGCCCGTTGAGGCCCCTTTCCTGGCCTGCGTGCCCACCCCCCACTGGCACACCTGCACCCTTGTCTGGAGACTCGCCCTTAGCTACGGCAGCTGCCTCACCCGGAGGTGCCGGAGGGGCAGGGGCAGCCAAGCCAGCCAACTGGCCGAAGTGCGATTCATGCTCCTGGGCTCCCACAGATGGGGCTGGGGAAGGGGAGACGCCTGCCACCAGGCTTTGCCAAGCTCCTCCCCCACTCTGTCCCGCTGCCCTCACTCCTATAGGTTGCCCTAGAGCAGTGGCTGGCAAACTGCGGCTCGGCAAACCGAGGCTCGCGAGGCACGTGCAGCTCTTTGGCTCCTTGAGTGTGGCTCTTCCACAAAATACCGGCTTCTGCGCATGGGCCACAAAGTTCAATCGCACTGTACGTGCGCGC